TAACCATCCCTGATTCAATGAGTTAGTCTTGGGTCTGGTGTGGACACCATAACTTTTGTAGCATAAAGGACCACTTCTAACACCTTAACCACCTCCTATTGCTGTAAAGCTAATTGACGTGTTTAGCAAGTGGCTTCCAGAGTTTCTGAGAAAAATCCAGGGAAACAAATGTGAGAAGTGGGTTTGTGGTTTACTGTTGGGAAAGTTATTACTTTGGAGGATGCTTTTTCAGTTGAGTAAAATGGTAGAAGATAATGTCGAGAGGACAGAGGCCAAAATAAAAAATAAAAAAACTGGACAATTGCTTATTTGTACTTTTTGTCCATTGACATTTGATATATTTACATAGTTATTTTTACTTCTATTTTTTTTTTTTTTAAATGTATTTCTATAGAAACTAGTTATAGGAGGAAATTGGATAAATAAATATGTAAGAGCCTTTGGCAAGACAAATGGAAGTAAGCGGCCACAACAACGGAATTCAGATTGGTTCTGGCTGGAACATCATTTATAAGAACGATTAGAAAGATTTATCTTTTATTTCAAAATTCAAGTGCCTGACATTTGTTGTGTTGTCAAATCATGGTTTCACGTTCCTGGATGACACAGACCATCTAATCCTTGTGACAGGAGAAAAAAATTGTATCGAGAAGACAAGACAAACAAACGATAGAGGTTACTTTACGACAATACCCTTAATTATCAGTGTAATGGCAATTTTGCTACCAGTGCAAGTAGCACAGGATTAATTAGCAATGCTTTACCTCTTTTCTCATTATAATTTTCTAATTGTAAATATTATTTCCTGGCTTTTGAACACCTCCTCTTCATTCCCTCACTTAAAGGAACACTCCGGCACCATAACAATTCCATTGACACAAAGTTTTTATGGTGCCAGAATGCCCCCGAGCACTATCGTTCCTAAAGGGCTTAAGCCGTTCTTGAATGATTTATCCTCAAAGGTTGCCTTCAGGACCAGATACAACAGACAAGAGGTCACCCATTGAGAGTGGAAGAAAGGCGTTTTCACTTACAGCAAAGGAAAGTGTTCTTTACAGTAAGAACAATAAAGATGTGGAATTCTCTGCCTAAAGAGGTTGTCTTATCAGATTCTGTAGATACATTTAAAAATGGCTTAGATGCTGTTTTGCATAATTAGAATATTCGAAGGTTATAATGGAAATGTATGTTAACTAGTTGTTGATCCAAGGAGAAATCTGTCATTATGGAATCAAGAAGGATTCCCAATTGGAAATGGCTTCAATTTGATTTGTTGGCTTCTTTTAAATCAACAGCAGAAAATAATAGGCTTCAACCTAAACAATTCCCTATGTAATCTCCAGTTCCCCCAGCAGGATCTGTTTGGCTAGAACAATCAGCTGTCTCTTTAAGGCAATTACTAACCCCATTCATAAAAAGGTACGTACTAGAGGCAACCTTTAAGGTTAAACTGTTCTGGAACGGTTTAACTCCTTCAGGAAGAATGTCCCGGGGGGCATACTGACACCATAACAACTTATTTTGGATTAAGTTGTTATGGTGCCCAGAGTATTTCTTTAAGCCCCCTTTCCAGAGAATTCCCAGTCATCCAGATGAGTTTATAATGCCCCCCCCTCCCCCAACTATCATGCAATGTTGTGGCAACCTGATAAAACCAAACTGACATTTCTCACCCACCCCTGGTTAGCAGAATGCACCAATTATAACCTTGTGGACCTTAGACATAAAAATAGAAGGTTCAAACCGGGGAATTGTCTCAACTGGTGTATTTTGAACTAATATAAAGTCGTGATCACAACAATTTTCCTCATTTGTATTCCTCATGGTTAATGCACAGATTGTTTTGTAATGCTTGATGATTATGTAACACTGTGACAGAACCATCTGTCTGGTTATTGTTGGTGGATTCGTCTGTTTTTCCCCGTTTGTGTAAATGGCTGTTTCCTATAGCCTAGCCATACGAATGACCATTTTTCCCGAACAAAACTACCGAACGGATGGCCACCCAGGAGAGAAGTGTGCTGCTGGTTAACCTATTGATCCCAATTAGAACGTTGTGGTTAACCGCAGACACTTCTCAATTAAACCGAATTCAGGGTGGTCGTCGTTCGTATGTCGACCACTTTAAACCATGCGAAAGACCAGCGGTGTTTGGCTCTATTTTCATGGAACTAAAAACGGACACTTTTTCTGCCGAACACCGCTGAAACAACGGAACGCCTGGCTGCCTCCGCGAAAGCATACGAATACCGGCCGTTCGGGAGCTTTGAAGCATACGAAAGGACTTAACCCAGATAGCCTTCCCATGGAGTCATTCGTATACCGAAAGACTGTAAAAACTTTGACTCCATGGCGATTGAACTATGTGTGTGGGATCTGTATTCGAATAATATGCGATCCAGGCTATCTGGGGATATGTGATGCGAATGGGAAATCGGTTTTTGTAAAGTTATGAATTTTTATGTATTTTCTGGTTTTATATTTAAAATGGCGACTGGCTTTGTCCTGGAGATAATTGAAGTACCTCTTAATTATCTCCAGGGCAGAGGGGAGGAAACCATAGTGTATTGTGGGTAAAAGCTGTCACTGTGTGTCTGGAATGTCCCCATGTCTGTCTGTCATTACAGTCTCCCATTTGGTCCCCTAGGGGAGTGTCCACCAAGTGGGAGACCTGCATAAATACGGGCAGGTAGCCCACAGTAAAGCCAGATCCTGTTTGACCCTCTATGCGGAACTTCTGTCTCGTTATTGGGGGGGATTTCTTCTTTGCGTTTAGAGACTGCTGGATGGAACCGAAAGCCGCTTGGTGGATATCGTTGTTCGGAGGCTAGCAGTAGTCCGTGGAGTTCCGTTCGGGAGGTTGGAGCCGTTCACGGATCCCGGTCGGGATATTGCCGCTTCCCCTGAGTTTGGTTCGTACACTGCAGTTCATGCGAACTGAGATTATTGGTATTGCAGAAGGGGAAGGCTAAACGGCGGTTTCATTTAAAGACACCAGGGGTGTCTTAACAAACACAATTAGCTGAGGGGGATACATTGTTAGCGAACAGTTTAAACCCAAACTTTTCAATGGCCACCTGTCTGCTCTGCCCCTTCATTTGAGTTCCAGTCTGTGGTTTAAATCACCACCAATAGGCAAAGGAGACACGATCAGCCTATCAATCGCCCCTCATTCACAAGATGGAGGGAAAAAGATGCATACTTGTGACATGAGGTTTCTAGCAGACTAGTTATGACATCACTGTTGTGTGTTCTAAGGTTTTTGCAAGTTTGGTGTGATATCACTGCTGTTGAATCCTTGTTTTAGGCTAGTTATGACATCATTGCTGAATGAACCGAAGATTTTTTTTTGCAGGCTAATTGTGACAGCACTGCTATCTCATACTAAGATATGTTTTAGGCTAGTTATGACATCACAATTGCGTGTTTTAAGGTTTTTGCAGGTTAGGTGTGATATCACTGCTATTGAATCCTTGAATCCTTGTTTTAGGCTAGTTATGACATCACTGCTGAATGAATCTAAGATTTTTTTCTGCAGGCTAATTGGGACATTTTTTTTTCAGGCCAGTTATGACACTATGCTTTAAACAGCCTTTGCAGGCGAGTTGTGAAACCACTGCAGTGCAATAGGAACTTCGTAGGTTGCCCACTTTGCTGCAGTCTGATTAAGACATGGCTGATGTTTCCTTATACGTTTTGTTTTACACACGAGATGTGAGATTGAGTGCTTTTAAGGTTTTCCAAAGCTACTTGTGACATCACTACTATTTGAACCAGGGTATGGCTATGGGAGCCAGGTTCGCTCCAAGCTATGCCAACTTGTTTGTCAGGTTGGGAAAAAAGATTGTGTTTATGATAGCATAGAATGGGAGACGAACCTTGTCACATACCGAAGGTATATAGATGACCTGATATTTATATGGGATGGCCCCATATCCCCATTGGAGAAGTTTTTATGTAAATTAAATGAAAATGACTGGGGTAAAACATTAGTTTTTTAGATTGAGAAGTATATGTAGAGAACAATGAAATTATGACAAATACATTTTTTAAGAAGGTAGATTTGAATAACGATGTCCTTTACAACAGTGGCCACTACACCCCATGGCTAAACAATATTCCTAAAGGGCACTTTCAGAGAATAAGGCAGAACTGTACAAGTAATCAGGTATACGAGGAACAAGCCACAATCATAGAGGAGAGGTTTAAAAAAAGAATACCCTAATGAATTGGTACTTAGAGCTAAGGAATAAGTCAGCAAATGTAGTCAAGATAATCTAATTAGACACAATGAAAAAAATAACAACAAATGATAATGATTGCACCATTAGTGTTTGACTTTAATGTGAATTCTAGAGAAATTAGATATATTGTAAATAAACATTGGCATCTACTTAGAAACACAAAGAATTAAATACAATACTACCAGATAGACCCTTTATTACTTTTAGGTGTGCACCCAATTTTAAAAGTATTTTAACTCATGTTTATCCTAATGAAGAGCCTAGAAAAATCATAATAGTAATTTAACAGAGAGAAAGGGCTTTTATTCATGCAACAAGTGCAGTAAGAACAATACGTTAAAAGGGATAAATAAATTTACAACTAAATATGGGGATGATGAATACCATATAAAAGATTTTACAACATGTTTCACTAGAAATGTAATTTATTTATTGATTTCTCCATGTGGACTACAGTACGTGGGAAGGACTATACGCCCACTTCATAAAAAGAATAGCGGAACATATCTACAATATAAGGAAAGGGATATGAGCAACATAGTGTGTCGGCACACTTTAAGAGGCACCATAACATGGACCCTAAAGGACTCTGAGTGGCCTTTGGCCTGGGAAGGCGTTTAGGATGGCAAGTGTTAGCTGCCGCTGTGAGGTGAAAGAGGCTCTGGGTAGTCGGTCATCCCATGTGGGTTCCGTGCTTTTGCCACTGTTAGGGATGCCTTGGGGGGGTAATCCCTGTTGGCTCTCTGCCCAGGTGGGCTAGGTGTGTTGCGGGTTGGATGCTCGGTGAGAGGTTGTGCCTGACTGGGCCCCATGCACCCCCTCTCCTGCTTGCACCCATCCTCTCCTCTGTCCCCCAGCTGCCGCTGCTGGTAATACCTCAAACATCTCCCAGTAATGGGTGAAGAACTCATCAAGGTGCAGCAGCATGCGATCCAGCATGGTACACTCGGTCTGCGCGTCTCTTGTAGAAGGTGTGTCCGCCATTTTGAGAAGGGTTGCTGGATAACAGTCTCCCACAATATCAGCTGCCCGCTGTTCGCAAGGTAAGTGAGGTAGCTTAGTGTGGTCCGGGATGACCCCCGCCAGTCTAAGGGGGGGAGAGTGCTTCCCAGGGTTCCCAGCTGCTGCTTGAGAGCCCGGAGAGAAGCCGTCTCTCTGTGACTCAGCCTTGTGTAGGCCACAAGCCTCAGTTTGTCTGTCCAACGGTGTTGGAGCTCAAGAAAGGTACCGTCTGGTGCAGCAACCTCTCCCGGGTTTTTAATTAAGATATTTTTTTGAAGCCTACACTATGTGGATATTTTTAGCAATACTTAACTAAGATATGTTTAACTCGAAGTTTATTTTATGTAAATTATTTTTATGTCTGTCTCTTTAAGAATCTGTAAGTATGATCTGCGGACTTATAATCAGGGGGAGACAAATTAGCATATAGGTCTACTACAGGACCTATCCGAGGGCTTAAACATGCCTTTGGTCTAATATACGCCCATATAGGCGAATTTAAAAAGAGATGGACAAGATCCGACACATCTGATCTGATGAAACCAATAGTGGCGAAACGCGTCATCACGTCGTGACACAGGACTTTGTGAACTCCACCTCCCGGAACAAGCAAGGAGACCTCGAACGCCAGAAATACCGGTATCTGGAACCCGTATGTTTTTCCTGCCTAGTACATTGACGGTGATAGGAAGGATCCACTTTTAATTGTCTGCTGTTTTTTATTGAGTGGAATAACGTTGTTACTTTTGTACTTGGCTGTCCATCGATTTTGTCAAGGAAAAGATCCTGTGCATACTTTATTACAGTGAACAAGCGCAAATAGCCTGAGCAGTCTCTTTACCTGCTCAACGTTTGTGAGTGCTTGAATATACCCTGTATTTATATATAGAATTGTGTTTGCAAAATTACACTATCAACCTCATGTATTTTTTTACATGTGGAAAATCTACTCTCTGTGAAATAAGTTTAGCTCTATTAGCGCATTGATTTTTACCACATTGGTTTTAAGTAATATGTTGATATAAACAGTATATATTGTTGCAATAATGGTTACACATATGCTTAGAAGTGTAACTGCACAGTATTCCACAAATATTGTATTTTTTGCACACAAAAAAAATCAGTTTTTATCTTGGGCACAAGCACTCTGTTACATATTGTATCTGCCAGGGCTGATTGCAATACACAAGCGGTTTTGTGAGCACAGTCTTAAAGGCACAGCACACTTTAAATTTGTCTTTGTTGTTTAATTAAGTGGTATAGACCTAATACACTAATAAGGTGCTGCTAATATAAACAGTATTTTTAGGAAGTTGCAATAGTAATTGATTTAGCGCCATCTTATAGCTTGTTCTATTGTTTTTTGATCACTACTATCTGAGACTTACATTTATTGTAGGCTAGTTGTGATATCACTGATGGATAATTTTTGCAGGCTTGGTATGACATGTCAAGGTACTAACACACCCCGCAAACTAGAAGCAATACATAAAAGATAAAGTACATATTACTTAAAGGGAATCTGTAGTGTTAGGAATGCAAAGTTGTATTCCTAAAGCTGTAGAGCCGTCTGGTCTCCCCTCCTTCGCACCCTTCCGCAGGCCCTCACAACAGCTAAAGGGTTAAAAAGCCCTTTAATCATTTACCCCATTCTGCCGCACCACTTCCTCCGATGTGTGTGTTAGCCCAGAAGTGATTTGAGCTACTATTACTTTAAAATTGGACGGAACCAGGCGTTGCATTATGTCATTGTGAATGCACGTGCATTCCCTAATGCTGGCTTGCGGCATCAAATGGAGGAAGTTCGGTGTTGGCTGAGGGAAGAGGAGTGGTGCAGTGAGAGCCAAGAGGAGGTTTTTAAAGTTTTTACATGCCAATTGTGGCCTCCCTGGTATAGGTTTCTAAGGAATTTTTAAGGCTTGTTGTGACATCACTGCTCTCTGATAGCAACATTTATTGTAGGCTGGTTATGACATCACTGCTATGTAAATGTAAGTTTTTTTGCAGACTAGTTGGAGCATAACTGCTATATGACATCACTGTTATTAGAGTGTAAGGTTTTGGAATACCACTGTCTGATACAAATATTCCTTGTGCTATCAGTGCTGTGTGATGCTTTTATTTGCAGACTGGTTCCTGGAGTTTAAAGTGGCTAAATTTTTTTTTTTTAAATTCCCCCAGGTTTGTTGGGACAACACTGCAGTGCAATTCTACGACTCTCCAGTTAGCTCAATATCACTGTTGTGTGATTCTGAGGTTGTCTCCAGTTAGCTGTCACCAAACTGCTATCCTATTGTCATATTTCTTTTTCCGTTTTTCGCAGTATCTATGCTTTTGATCTTAAGTTTGTGAGGAGTTTGTCACTGCTCAGTGATCTCAAGTTTTTTTTTTCTTTTTTTCTTCAAAGCCACTTGTGGCATTGCTCCTGTCTAACACCAACATTTGTTGTAAGTTAGTTGTCTGTTTCTTAGGATTAGGAAGGTTATTTATAGTATCACTGATCTGTGCTTGTAAGGTTTTTGTAGGCTAGTAATGATGTTCCTGATGTGTGATTTTAAGGTTTTTGTAGGCTAGTTGTGACCTCATTGTTGCATGATAACGTTTAAAAAAAAATGTTTTTTGCAAGCTAGTCGTGACATAATTGCTGTGTGAGTTAAAGGTTTTTGCAGGCTCATTATGACATCACTGTTGTATGATGCTGAGATTTTTTTTCTGCCTTGTGACATAATTGATGGGTTATTCTATGGTTTTTGCAGGTTAATTGGGACATCACAGCAGAACGATTCTAAATGTTTTGTAAGTTAGGTATGACATCATTGCTGTGTAAGCCTAAGGTTTGTTTAGGCTAGTTATAATACCACTGTTGGACAATTCCATTGTTTTTGCAGCCTACTTGTGACATCACTGCTGGATGATTACCATGCATTTGCAGAAGTTATGCCATCACTGCTGTATGATTCTAAGTTGTTTTTAGGCTAGTTGTGACGTCACAGCTGTGTGATTCACAGTTTGTTTCCGGGCTTAATATATGTTTTATTGCTTCAGGAGTTTGAGGTCATTGAATGCTTCTTAACATATCACTATGAGGTTCTGAGTTTTTTTTGTTTTTTTTCCTTCAGGTCATGTATGACATCGCTGCTGTGTGATTCTAAAGTTTTTGCAAGTTGTGATTCCAAGGGTAGGTATGACATCACTGCTGTGCAATTCTACAACTCTTCGAGCTAGTTGTGAGGTCACTGTTGTGTGATTATACTGTGCAGCAGCCTAGTTGCGACATCACAACTGTATAATTGTTAGATTATTACTTCACTACACTAATCCAATCTCCACGTCACATGCATTGCATTTTACTGCCTATATGTGACGCACACGCAACCAGCACACCCAATGCTTTTAACACACACACTACTGTTGGCGCTCAGGTCTGAATTTAATATTGTTGAATAAGCTTTCTAAATGATTTTATATTTTTGGAAAGATTAAAAAAAATTATTCTGAATATTAAATATAAAAAAAAATCGAAATATCAAAATATATATTTGTATAATTTATATATAATATTTTTCATAGTATTACAAATAATAATAAAAAAAAAAATGTATCCAAACATTGAATCCTTTGTAAAGCTTATCTAACACTATTAAATCAAGGCGTTTGTGTGTTCCATAAACTGTGATTCCTCTATCAACTTTACTGTTTTGGTTTAAATTGTGTTGAATGTCATCAAATCACTGCTCACCAACTGAGCAAAACTCTTCAGCAACAAAAAAAGTGTTGCCTGTGCACACGGAAACATTCCCTCTTTCAGCCACTAACTTTAGACTGTAGGTTGGAGTTTAAACTATTTGCATTATTGTTCTATGTGTTATACTGTAAACAGAATTTTTGAACTATTAGGAGCACATTCCACACATTTCTGTATAATTTTCTGGGTAAAACAAAGATTTTTCCTCTGGAGCATCTGAAGACAGCTTCTTTGTGTTTCCAGCTAATTATCAACCTAGGCTCATTAGGGTTTCCATCTCTCCCAAGCCAAGCTCTCGGAGTCTCGGTGATGACAGCTTACATTTGTCCATCACAGTGATTATATTTTCATTGTATCAAACCTGTTTCAATATGGATTTTTTTCTGCACCGTTGTTAAATATTTCCTCTGACTCGAGATGTATTTAATTAACTCTGTGTTTCTTAATCTTTTAAACATGGCATTACTTTAGTTGACAATTCGTCATCTATAATATATTAGAACATTAATTAGGAAACGTATCTTAACATAACCCTTCCAGATGTCAGATAAGTGTCCATCGCACTTCAGAAACAGCTGAGAAAAGTGTATTCAGGGCCTTTACAATGAAATGACTGTTCCAAACACGTAGGACCAATAAAGGGGTAGAGGTGGGGTAATTTGTGTTCCCAATCCAGAAGTTAATAATCCCTGAATTAACTGGGGTTTCCCCCCCCCCCCCTATAGCATCATCACAAGATAGACAGAGGTGTAGGTGTAGATGAAGGACAATCATCTATGTAGGAAGTGCTTATATGAACATTTATTCTCTAAAATATCTGCTCCCCAGGGTTATAATAGCAAATATGACATTTATTTATTTAAAAATAAATCAACAGACTACAACCTAATAAAATAATGTGCTTTCAACTGAGCTAGTCAGAATACCTAACCAAGACTAAAGTGAATAATGAAAATAGAAACAAATTGAAATTAAATATACACCTTTATTATTATTACTTAAAACATAGCATTGTCACACAACAAACACCCACTGCCTATTCAAAATCAGGGTGGCATTAAACCTTTACCATGTGAAGCGTATACTAGACCCTGTTATATCTGTAGAAGAATGGTCCAAGGCAGGGCTAGGCAGCCTTTTTGTAGTACTGTGCCAAAACAAGATCTTGGTCTGCCAATCCTTTTTTTTTAAATTGAGGTGTGTATGTTGCTGTAATCTGCGTGGTATTTATGGGTTC